TGTCACCATTTTCTCCTTTCCAATTTCTCCCTTTAGGAACAAGAATGTCTATTGTATGCCTGTCTATCCACAGCTGTTTTTTTTGTTTTTTTTCTTGATGGTCCAAATCTCACACCTGTACATGACTATTGGAAAAACCATAACTTTGACTAGATGGACCTCTGTCAGCAAAGCAATGTCTCTGCTTTGTAATACACTGTCTACATTTGTCATAGCTTTCCTCCCAAGGAACAAACGTCTTTTAATCTCATGACTGCAGTTACCATCTGCAGTGATTCTGGAGCCAAGAAAATAAAATCTGTCACTGGTAACACTTTTTTCCTTTTATTTGCCATGAAGTGATTGGACTGAATGCCATGATCTTAGTTTTTTCAATATTGAGTTTCAAGCCAGCATTGTCACTCTCCTCCTTCACCCTCATCAAGAGGCTCTTTGGTTTCTCTTCACTTTCTATGATCAGACTGTATCATCTGGATATCTGAGGTGATTGATATTTCTCTTGGCAATCTTGATTCCAGCTAGTGATTCCTTCCATCCAGGATTTCGCATGATATACTCTACATAGAAGTTAAATAAGCAGGGTGATAATATACAGCCTTGTTGTCTGCCTTTCACAGTTTGAACCAATCTGTTGTTCCATGTCTAGTTCTAACTGTTGTTTCTTGACACATATGCAGGTTTCTCAGGAGGCAGGTAAGTTAGTTTAGTACTTCCATCTCTTTAAGAATTTTCCACAGTTTGTTGTGATCCACACAGTCAAAGGCTTTAGTGTAGTCAGTGAAGCAGAAGTAGATGTATTCCTGGAACTCTGCTGCTTTCTCCATGATTCAACCAATGTTGACAATTTGATCTCTGGTTCTTCTGCCTCTTAGAAACCCAGCTTGCACATCTGGAATTTTCTCAGTTCACATATGGCTGAATCCTAGCTTGAAGAATTTTGAGCATAAACTTACTACTTACTACCACTTGAAATGAGCATGATGGTATGATAGTTTAAGTTCTTATGAGGTCATTGCTTTTCCACTGGGACCTGTTGTGCACAAGAACCTGTGTGTGCCCTCTAGAGTGGAGGTTCTGTTTTCCCCAGTCCTATGGAATTACTGCAATCAAATCCCACTGGCCTTTAAAGCCAGATGCTCAGGGAATTCCTACCAAAGACAGACCCATAAGCTGGGGACCCCCATGTAGGTGCTCATGACTTTCACTTCTGTGTATAAGTTCTGTGATATAATTATTTTCCAGGTTGTGGGTTACTCATCCAGTGGGTATGGGATTTGATTTTATCGCTATTGCACCCCTCCTACTGTCTCACTGTGGCTTTTGCTTTGTACTTGGATGTAGGGTATCTATTTGTATGTTCCAAAATTTGTTTTCAATGGCTGTTCAGCAGTTAGTTGTGATTTTGGTGTTTTTGCAAGAGCAAAATGACTTTCAACCAAGTCATTTTGTCTCTGCCTCCTTTTTCTTTTTCCTTTGTGCTTAATCTTATTTCACTTGCTCATAGAGTGCTGAGGGCAGAGGTCTTGCACCCTACACTTCAGACCTAATGTGAAATTGCTTTGCTGACATCTCTGCTAAGTGTGCAGAAGCATTGAATAATACAGCATTGCTTATTTAAGGGATGCTAACAGAGCATACCTTAAAAGTTCCCCATACAAGAAAAAAAAAAAACTATAATAAATATGCTGACAGCTGTTAGCTAGACCTACTGTAGTGATGACCTACACCGTTTTACAATGTATAAAATATCAAATCATTATATTGTACCCCCTGAAACTACTGTAATGCTACACATCACTTATATCTTAATAAAAAATATTTTGAATTGGGTATGGTGGAGACGGAGCTGAAAAAACACATATGGAGATGAAGTCTCAAATGTCTGGGTTGAGACAAGCAAGTCTCTAAATCAATTACACATTTTTGCTTCCTAAATTAAAAAAAAAAATTGTTCCCTAAAGATGGCAGTGTTCAGATAAAAATAACTACTGCTGAAGTTGTTCTGGGCACACTACAAGGACAAACACATTTTATCTATTCATTCAGTTTCTTGATTGCTCTACAAAACAGTGAAGTTACATTTCCAGATTCATGGATTGTAACTAAAATGACTAGTGAGAGGGAAAAGTGGAAGTTTTGATGACGTCTGTTGACCCCTTACAGGGAAGCAATGACTCTGTCACATTTCAGAAAGTAAATGTGGTAACACACATTACCCCAGCTCTTAGGTAATTTAGTTTCCAGAAGAGAATTTCAAATAAGCTTCTGAGTTTCTATGAAAATTTTAATAAAACCATATAAAATGAGATTTTTGCTATCCTGATCAAACACAAAGTAGTCTTTGCTCATCTATATGCATATTTAGCAGACAGAGCAAATGTAAATCTTTGCAAGTTCCATTCAGTCTATAAATTTCTTACTGAAGAAAAAGATCTCATTTGCCAAATGTCCTGTCCACCTGTTACACAACACTGAAAGGGGTGTGAGTTGTTTCTCTATGATATAAAGGTTTTCAAAATGAAAATTTCAATCACTTTTAGTTTCCTCAAAATGTGCAGAAGCATGTAACAAGAATTTTTTTTTTTTTTTTTAACTTCACACCATGGAAAGACATTGCTTCCTTAAACAAGTGTACAAGATGGTTGTACTCTTTGCTGGCCATAGAAGATATGTTGAAATATTTGCAGTGCAGTGTGTGCGTGTTCAATCATGGCCGACTCTTTGCGACCCCATGGACGGTAGCCCACCAGGCTCCTCTGACCATGGAATTCCTCAGGCAAGAATATTGAAGTGGGTCGCCATTTCCTCCTCAGGGTATCTTCTTGACCCAGGGGTCAAATCAGGGTCCCTTGCATTGGCAAGCAGATTCTTTTACCATCAAACCACCTGGGAAGCCCAAGATAAAATATTTACCTGATGTAAAATCTTATTTTTTAAAAGGCTGGACAAGAAGAAAATACTTCTCTAATGTTGAAATTCATGGCAGATGAGAATAAAGAAAAGAAAGTTCACAATGAAATGGAAATTTATACGCTGCTTTTCCAAAGCAATCTGATGATCTGTGAAGAGGCCTTCAGAATTCCAGAAGAGGATGTACTGACTACACCTTGGTAGTTTTATGATTTGCATAGGTTGTGACAACAATTCATACACTGAAAAAAAGACTCATACTTTTGGAAATAAAGACTGCTTCGGAACTCAAAAAATGTAACCAGCAATGGGTGAGCAAGTTAAGAAGGACTTCCTCAGTTCCTTTATTAAAACGGTAATTTATATGGAATTCAAATTAGATTTCACCAACTAAGATTACTTCTATGGTTTAAGCCACGTTCCCTGAAAAAGAAATATTTAACATCCAGTGTGCTTTGGAGTGCATAAAAATGATGGGCATTTGAGACATGGATAGTCTATGTGATGAATTTAAACATTTTTGGAGAGCTGCAAAATATTAATAGTTTTTCCAAGCCTGAAAACCTGCTTTATCTAGTAAAGAGAACCCTTAGTATCCTATGTTCAACTGCTTTTGTCAAGATACTTAGCATAATGCCATTACAATGAACTGATACCACAATTCAGTAAATGTGGGCTTGTTAAAACAAAGCGTCAGGTCAAAATGAATTTTACATTTGATTCTATTCCACGTTGCTACCACTTAAAAGAAGGATATCTTAAAGGCTGCAGTTCAGAAAAGTATAACTGGAGAATGAAACAAAAAATATGTCTGACTGTATTATGGCACTGAAAGAAGCACGTCAATGTTATTTTCATTAAATATGAGGGTATCTTTAATTATTCCTGTTATATTTTTATTCTTTCTGTTATATCTTTCCTGTTATATCTTTATTCTTTCTTTCTAAAAATCTTACATTTATGTATTTTAAGAAAAAAGAAGATAGCCAGGCAAAACTTAAATATCTAGTACAGGGTTTTTAAAAAGAGGTAAAGTAGATTGCTGTATTAGAGACTACATTATATTCTCATTAGAAAGTATAGTTTTTGTTCATATATTATTACTTTTAATTGGTTTTTCTATAAACTACTATTGATAAGCACTGTTAATTAGTTCTATTGCTGTTTCACTTAAATAATAGCAATTTATGTAACAACCTGGAGAAGGAAATGGCAACCCACTCCGGTACTCTAGCCTGGAAAATCCCATGGATGGAGAAGCCTGGTAGGCTACAGTCCATGGGGTCACAAAGAGTCAGACATGACTGAGCGACTTCATTTCACTTATACAACAAAAGTACACAATACAGAATAATATAAAATTTAAAATAAATACCTATTTTTCTACATATTTATGGGAAAATAATAATATATATAGTTGTTTGTTACATGTTAAATGATTATATTTCCTTTTTTTGGTCTACACACAGTCTGATATATCTGTATTTTAATTGTCTAAAAAGTTACTCCCCTACGTATGTCTTCCCTTGGTATTCAAGCTGCATATAAGCCTGCCCAGGAGTTCATCATTTATTTGACCCAAAAGGAAAAGGTGTAAAGGTGAACAGACATCCTTTTCTGAAATCAGGAATATCCTCCAGTTGTTCCCAGTCTCATCCAGACCTACTTGACCTCAAAACAATACTCAAGAACCCTAGGGATGGGGATATTCTCAAGGTAAAATTTTAAACTTTAGGTTGGAGCCCCTACAATGCAAGAGAAAGGAGTGGCCTGAAAGATGACAATGATGACTAACACCATTTTAAACCAAGCATATGTGAGACAATCCAAAGTGAACAATCTAAATTAACTGATCAAATTAGGTACACTGTAATTTCTACTTTTCAAATTTCCTACCACTAGGTTCAATTTTTGTTAGTAAACAATATCAACATTGATACAGAAGTACAAACTTAAACTGTCTTAGTTTTTTAAAATCTTATGAGTAAAATAAAACCATATTTGTTGACATTAGTTGCTTTGCAATGTGGCTTGGAACCTAAACTTTATTTTCCTACATATTGCCTTAGATTAACAAAGTTTTAAAGACACTAACCAGTTTTGTGCATGTGTCCATCATTGATACTTCCAAATTCTCCTGGAAGTGGCTTGCAGTTAGGAGGTGCAAACCCTGGCAAACAATGGCAATGGTCAAAATTATTGCATACCTGGAATAATTAGAAAACAGAACAATTTTTATGTACAAAATTGGTTTCCCATAGAGACCAATGAATATTCTATACTTATTGAACAGACCATTTATTCCAGAGAATTTATCTTAAATGGATAAATTCAACAAATTGTCACAAATTTTCCCTTGAAATTTCCTATACTGTAGAAAGTACATCTGGCTTCTGTTGCCAAATCATTTTTAAAAATTCTTTCAACTCTCCCCACAACCAGACCAAGATATTTCAACAGTAACATGTCACTAATTATCATTTACTTCCTAACTTCACAGAAAAGTCAGGACACTAAATGAACAAGACACTTCTAATGACCTTATTTACCAGTTCCTGCCTTTTCTCTGTAAAAATAAGATCATTTTGGCTAAATGGTACACACAGTACCTATAGCATATCCACCCCACATATTTACCAATCATTTTATATTTCCAGAATCATCTTCAATGTTTCTAAATCTTCTCTAATAAACAGTTTGGCAAGATTTCTCAAGAAAGTAAGATTGAAGCTGTACATTATAGACTGTTAAATCACACCAAGCAGCATGAAAATGATAAAAAATTACTCAAAAGATTTCTTTAAATCTCCAAACTGCTGACTGAATTGTTCAAAGCATGTTACTTAACATGAAAACTGAAATTACTTACTCCTTTTGAAGCACAATGTTTACCATTATCGCATCTGGTTTTATCCATGCGGTATTTAACCTCTACACAGGAAAAGTTCACACAATACTAAAACAAAGCAAAGAAATTGAAAAACAAATTCAGTCAAACCATCAAATTAGACTGTGTGTACAGATAATATACGAGAAAAAATTCAAGGATTCATATTACCAAGAATTGGCATAAAAATTCAAAACATAAAGTTATAATTGTGACAGCATTGAAATAAATGTGAAATAAGCTATGTGCCTTCATACTGTAAAAATATAGTCATGTAAGAAGCTGAAAGTTTTATTTTCTTGCCCTCTAGCACCAGAAGTCCTCTTAGAAACAAAAATATCCAGAAAAATAGTTTGGTTAGTCTTTTGAGTTCAATCATTATGTGAGGAGCTTTGAAAAAATGCCCAGGGCTGGGCTGTATCTGACACCATTATGTCAAGAGCTCTGCAGGCAGAGTTCAGACGATCACCATGAGCAGTTAGGGCTGAGAAATTTCGCATGGGAGGTTGATATAATGAAATAACGTGTATGGGGAGCAAATGAGGCATGTTACTATTCCATGTGGGGAAAGAAAGGAGGGGAAAAGCAAGGATAACAGGAAATTATATGCAGTAATAGAATGATGAGACACTCTCATAAGAAAGATGGCTAAATGACCTTCTAAGAAAAGGAATGTTTAATGAGTAAGTTTCAGTTCAGTTCAGTTCAGTTCAGTCACTCAGTCGTGTCCGACTCTTTGCAATCCCATGAACTTCAGCACGCCAGGCCTCCCTGTCCAACATCAGCTCCTGGAGTCCACCCAAACCCATGTCCATCGAGTCGATGATGTCATCCAACCATCTCATCCTCTGTCATCCCCTTCTCCTCCTGCCCTCAATCTTTCCCAGCATCAGGGTCTTTTCAAATGAGTCAGCTCTTCACATCAGGTGGCCAAAGTATTGGAGTTTCAGCTTCAGCATCAGTCCTTTCAATGAACAACCAGGGCTAATCTCCTTTAGGATGGACTGGTTGGATCTCCTTGAAGTCCAAGGGACTCTCAGGAGTCTTCTCCAACACCACAGTTCAAAAGTATCAACTCTTCGGCACTCAGCTTTTTTCATAGTCCAACTCTCACATTCATACATGACCACTGGAAAAACCATAGCCTTGACTAGACAGACCTCTGTTGGCAATGTAATGTCTCTGCTTTTTAATATGCTATCTAGGTTGGTCATAACTTTCCTTCCAAGGAGTAAGCGGCTTTTAATTTCATGGCTGCAGTCACCATCTGCAGTGATTTTGGAGCCCCAAAAAATAAAGTCAGCCACTGTTTCCCCATCTATTTGCCATGAAGTGATGGGACTGGATGCCATGATCTTAGTTCTCTGAATGCTGAGCTTTAAGCCAACTTTTTCACTCTCCTCTTTCACTTTCATCAAGAGCCTTTTTAGTTCCTCTTCACTTTCTTCCATAAGGGTGGTATCATCTGCATATCTGAGGTTACTGACATTTCTCCTGACAATCTTGATTCCAGTTTGTGCTTCATCCAGCCCAGCATTTCTCATGATGTACTCTGCATATAAGTTAAATAAGCAGGGTGACAATATACAGCCTTGACGTACTCCTTTTCCTATTTGGTACCAGTCTGTTGTTCCGTGTCCAGTTCTAACTGATGCTTCCTGACCTGCATACAAATTTCTCAAGAGGCAGGTCAGGTGGTCTGGTATTCCCATCTCTTTCAGAATTTTCCACAGTTTAGTGTGATCTACACGGTCAATGACTTTGGCAAAGTCAATAAAACAGAAATAGATGTTTTTCTGGAGCTCTCTTGCTTTTTCTATGATTCAACTGATGTTGGCAATTTGATGTCTGATTCCCTTGCCTTTTCTCAATCCAGCTTGAACATGTGGAAGTTCATGGTTCATGTATTATTGAAGCCTAGCTTGGGGAATTCTGAGCATTGCTTTAGCATTTACTAGTGTGTGAGTGAGTTGTGCAGTAGTTTGAACTTTCTTTGACATTGCCTTTCTTAAGGATTGGAATGAAAACTGACCTCTTCCAGTCCTGTGGCCACTGCTGAGTTTTCCAAATTTGCTGGCATATTGAGTGCAACACTTTTACAGAATCATCTTTCAGGATTTGAAATAGCTCAACTGGAATTCCATGACATCCACTGGCTTTGTTCATAGTGATGCTTCCTAAGGCCCACTTGACTTTGCATTCCAGGATGTCTGGCTCTAGGTGAGTGATCACATTATCGTGATTATCTGAGTCATGAAGAGGTTTTTTGTATAGTTCTTCTGTGTATTCTTGCCACCTCTTTTTAATATTTTCTGCTTCTGTTAGGTCCATACCATTTCTGTCCTTTATTCTGCCCATCTTTGCATGAAATGTTCCCTTGGTATCTCTAATTTTCATGAAGAGATCTCAAGTCTTTCCCATTATATTATTTTCCTCTGTTTCTTTGCATTGATCACTGAGAAAGGCTTTCTTATCTCTCCTTGCTATTTTTTGGAACTCTGTGTTCAAATGGTTATATCTTTCCTTTTCTCCTTTGCTTTTCACTTCTCTTCTTTTCATAGCTATTTGTAAGGACTCCTCAGACAGCCAATTTGCTTTTTTGCATTTCTTTTTCACAGAGATGGTCTTGATCCCTGTCTCCTGGACAATGTCATGAACCTCCATCCATAGTTCATCAGTCATTCTGTCTATCACCTCTAGTCCCTTAAATCTATTTCTCACTTCCACTGTATAATAGTAAGGGATTTGATTTAGGTCATACCTGAATGTTCTAGTGGTTTTCCCTACTTTCTTCAATTTAAGTCTGAATGTGGCAATAAGGAGTTCATGACCCGAGCCACAGTCAGCTCTTCACAGATACCTCTTCAATGGTTATCATCAAAAAGTTTACAAATAACAAATGCTGGAGAGGGTGTGGAGAAAAAGAATATATAGTGCACTGTATGTGGGAATGTAAGCCAATATAGCCACTGTGGAAAACAGTATAGCAATTCATCAAAATATAAAAATAGAATTATGATGTGATTCATCGATTCCACTCCTAATTCCTAAATATATATCAAAAGAAAATGAAAACACTGCTTTAAAAAGCTATATGCACCCCAGTGTTCAAAACAGCATTATTTATAACATCCAAGATATGGAAGCAACCTAAGTGTCCATCAATATATTAATGGATAAAGAAGATGTGTGATATATATATATACAACAGATTATTACTCAGACATAAGCACGAATGAAATGTTGCCTTTTATGAGAACAAAAGTACTTTTAGGGTATCATGCTTAATGAAATAAGTCATAAAGAAAAAGACAAATACTATATATTATCACATCAATGGAATATAAAATATAAAAAAAAATGAACATAACAAAACTGAAATAGGTATAGGAAAAAAAACTAGTGGTTACCTGTGGTATAGGGAAGTAATGAGAAGCAAGAGAAGCACAGGGGATTAAGAATATATAAAAAATAAATCAGCTACAAAGATATATTGTACAGCAAAAGGACTATAGCCAATATTTTATAATAACTTTAAATGGAGTATAATCTGTAGAAATGATGGATCACTCCGTTATATACCTGAAGTTTTTATAATATCATAAATCAACCATACTGCCATAAAAAGAAAAAGTATATAGATTCCTGAGCCCTCGATATGATGGGAACATAACTTACTACTCTTTAAACCTGGTACATACATAGTGAATTTTTAAAATAAAGTACACTAAAGAAAGGGGGGGAAGAATAATTTTACAATGAAAAATCTGATAAACATCACCTCAGCCAGGTAATCAAGGTTAACATCGATACACACATATAATTGATATAATGAAGGTGCACTTTACCTGTGCAATTTTCTTTTCAAGAACATATAAACCGAGTCTAATCCCAAGAAAAACATTACGCAACTCCAAATTGAGGGACATTTTACAGAATATCTACCAGTTCTACTCCAAAGTGTCAAGATCATCAAAAACAAGAAAATTTTGGGAAGGTGTCAAGAGGAGGCTAAGGGCACATTCAATAAATGTTCTGGTATTCTGAGTGGAATACTGCAAAAGGACACAAAGTAAAGGCTAAGAAAATCTGAATGAATTCAGACTAAAAATGGTATTCAGGTAAAAATCATATATTAATATTGGTTCACTGATTATAACAAATGTACCATACTACTGTTAGATGTTAATACTAGGGGAAATTGGCATGCTGCTTAGGGATGTGGGGTGTTCTATGTGAGCAAGAGGGAATTCAGGCGGTGATAAGTGTGGTCTAAAACCTAATGTGGCAATGGTTGTGCAACCGCAAAAATTAATTAAAAGCAATAAACTGTGCTGATCTGATAAACTCCCCAGGTCCATAGATGCCCAATATGCTACTGGAGACCAGTGGAGAAATAACTCCAAAAAGAATGAAGAGATGGAACCAAAGCAAAAACAACACCCAGTTGTGGATGTGACTGCTGATGGTAATAAAGTCTGATGCTGTAAACAATATTGCATAGGAAACTGGAATGTTAGGTCCATGAATCAGGATAAATTGGAAGTGGTCAAACAGGAGACGGCAAGAGTGAACATTGACATTTTAGGAATCAGTTAACTAAAATGGGCTGGAATGGGTGAATTTAACTGAGATGACCATTATATCTATTACTGTGGGCAAGAATCCCTTAGAAGAAATGAAGAGGCCATCATAGCCAACAAAAGTCCAAAATGCAGTACTTGGATGCAGTCTCAAAAATGACAGAATGATCTCTCTTTGTTTCCAAGGCAAACCACTCAATATCACAGTACTCCAAGTCTATGCCCCAACCAGGAATGCCAAAGAAGCTGAAGTTGAACGGCTCTATGAAGACCTATAAGACCTTCTAGAACTAACACCCAAAAAAAGATGTCCTTTTCATTATACAGGACTGGAATGCAAAAGTAGGCAGTCAAGAGATATATGGAGTAACAGGTAAATTTGGCCTTGGAGTACAAAATGAAGCAGGACAAAGGCTAACAAGAGTTTTGCTAAGAGAACGCACTCGTCATAGCAAACACCCTGTTCCAACAACACAAGAGAAGACT